TTCTAACTCTGTTTTCTTTCTTATGTTGCTTATTTACTAGTACATGTCCCTTCAGCATTTGAGAAAGAAGTGTAAAGATCCTATGTACCTGTAATTTGTCTTTGTTACACAAAGATATGTTCTTACTGTACCTTCTGAAGGTAAAGTACTTCTGTACCTTCTGAAGGAGAGAAAGAAAGTTCAGAAGCAATGAAGGCTTTTTTGAGGTAAGCAAACCCAAAATGTGAAAGAGAAAGTTCACTTGTAGAGTGAGTACAGCAAGGCCACGTGGGCAAGAAGCAAATTGGAGTCTCTTTTTTTTTTGGACGTTCAGTGTCACAATGAGACCTTAAATGTTAGCCTTTTCATCTTTTCACTTTTTTAGAAACTGATTGAGGTTATATTTTGGTTGTGTGTCTAGTCTTTAACTGCCAAGCCATCTCTCCAGCCCTAGACTGATTTTAATTTTTAATATATTATCTTTGGTTGTCTCTGAGATTTGCCTTAAAAATCATAGATAACATCCTTGATTTATCTTTTCCTTGTTAACAGGGAATCTTGACAATATTTAATATTCCTGTCCAAGGATTTTTTTACTTAGGAGGCTTAAAGTTGCCTGATTTTCTGATAATAATTAGTGTAGTTGACTTTCTTCAAAAATTAATAAATTACCTGAGTGGAAAGGGTTTAGTGAGTTTTCATAACAGATGTAATTTTTAATAGACAGGTAAAGCATTGCTTTCCTCTGGTGACACTGGAACATTACACTTTTAGTTTACAGATTGCTGTTCTTTTATTCTAACTTAATATCTTAACACCATATGTTTTTACTCCCTGACATACTTCCAGTTTCTGTGACAGTGTTCATAAAAGTTTCTACCATTGCCTTACACTCTCAACATTATACTTAGAGGAAAAGGTACAAAGTTAGCTACTTATAATCTTTTCCATGTTATAATTATAGGTACTAATCTACCTAAGTAAAAATTGAAGGAAGGGTTCATATCTAGCAAATCTTTTCATTACTTTTTGTATTTGTTTGTTTAACAACTAGTGCAGAACAAAAAACAAGTAGTTTTTTTCTATTTCTTTGTATTGTTTAGACAGTAAATGTATAGGATGAAAGGCTTTGAAATGTTACACTTTTATGAATTTTGAGCAGTCCCCCTCACTTATTAACTCACATGTTGCTAATTAGAAACACAGTAATGTTATACCTTAGACATATTAAAAGTGCATAAAATTATATTGTTAGATGCAGAAACTCAGAGTGGCTGGTCAAGATGCCATATTATATTAAACTTTGTAGTTTCCCATAATAGGAAGTTAGGAAATTGCTAAAAGATAGAAGGATATAAAACATAGTCTTGAAACATTACAGAAAATGTAGTAGAATATATGGAAATTTTACTATTTAAGTACTACATTAATTTGATTGTGGCTTCTTAGATTACCAACTTTATAAACTAATCTTTGTATTTAACTTATTTTCCTCCCTCTCTCCTTCCCTTCTGTTCTTCCATCAATTCATTCTTTATTTGATTTTTCAAAACAGGGTTTCTCTGTTTGTATTGCTTTGGAGCCTGTCCTGGAACCAACTCTGTAGACCAGGCTGGTCATAGAGATCTGCCTGCCTCTGCCTACCAAGTGCCGGTATTAAAGGTGTGTGCCACCAATACCTGTCCATTCTTTTTTAAAAACACTCTGCAGATGTTCATAGCAGAGTATTACTTATGATCACTGCTTACAGACTATCCAATAGGTATCATTGGGGCTGTTTCTGGATATCTTTGAGCAAGTCATGTCACTGGGTTCTGGATATCAGGTGTTATAGTGGGGATCCCGACTAAGCTATTTTTACACATCTAAGAGGCTTTGTTTTGGGTTTTTTTTTTCCATGTTCATTATAAAGAGTATAGAAGGTCCTTGAGAAATCTGCAAGGGATTAGTAATTGTTAGACTTCTAGGTGCAAATAAGGCAGAAGGTTTTTATCACGGTAGTAGTTCTCATGCAGTTTTGGAATTGTTTTCAAGATGACATTGAACAATACCTTTATAAATGGAAAGCTCTTGTGTATTTTCTGAGAGTGGGCTTTAACAGGAAATGGAGCAATGAAAGACTGGCATCATCCCCAAATGATATGACAGACTTTGAAGACTCACCTTAAAAGGTCTCCCCATCCCTGGGGAGCAGAAAGGGGATGGGATCAGGGTTTGTGTGGGAAACAGGGGAGGATGAGATGATGAACAAACTGGGACTGACATGTAAAACGAGCTTCAAATTTAAATTAAAAAAGAAAAACTGGCAACATAGATTAATTCCTATTGTTTTTCATTAAAATTCAAGTAATTCGTGGAATTGTACTTGTATTATATTGATAGTATGTTCAAACATAAACTGCAACAACAGGTTTAGTGATCCAGACAAGGAAATTGCACAACTGATAAAAGAAGCTGATGGGGAACATTGGAAAGAAAAATAGTTTGTAAATGTAACATCTTTTTAAAAAGTTTTAGCAATACTAAGAAATAACTTGAACCCTTCGTTTATCCTAGAGTATGGGTTTGCCATGTGGTTCTTTACTGCCTAGAGTCTAGAGTGGCAACAATGTCCATATTTGTATGTTAGGATTATTCAGCTTTTGATATTTCTAGTATTTTTATGAAAGCAATACTACAAAAAATAGATATTTTTCTGTTACTGAGAAAAAAACATGCTAACATTGATTATTATTATTTTTTTTCATTTTTAGACTATAAAGAAACACAAAACATTTTTTTACAAATGGAAAGAAGTTTGAAATTTTTCCTTTTTCCTTATCTGGCCTCAAGAAAATAAAACTTAAAATCAGTAGTCAAAAAATTTAAAAAGTAAGCCAGGTGTTTGTGGCACATGGGAGTCAGGTTCTGGGAGTTGGGGGGAAGGTAGGACCTAAGCAGAGGTCAAATCCAAGTTTTACAGAAAACAGGAATGAACTTATTTTGACCTTGTCACAAAACAGCTTTTAATTTTAAAATGAAGTTAGTCTGGCCCATCACACTGAATAGAGGAACTACTTTTATGAAATGTTGCAATACTGGATAACTACATTCAAGGGTATGGAAGGTATATAAAATATGAAAGGTATATTTTATAATGTATCCAAAAATTAATTCAGGCAGCATGGTGGTTTGTGCCTTTAATCTCAAATCTTAGGAGGCAAAGGCAGGTGGATATCTGAGCTTGATAAGTAGTTATCTACAAACTGAGCTAAAGGACAGTCAGGAATGCATGAAGAAACTGTGTATTGAAAAACAAAATAAAAAAAAACAAACAAACAATAAAATCAAACCACACCAAAACCCCACCAAAACAAACAAACCTTAAAATAAGCCAACAACTTTTAATATAACAGGTAAAACAATATAAATGTTAGAATACAATGTATAATTTTTCAATTGTATGTCAGTATGATGGTTTGAATAAGAATAGTCCCTAAGTACTTATGTGTTTAAATTTTTGGCTTATAAGTAATGGTACTTTTAGGAGGTATGGCCTTATTGGAATAGGGAGGTATTTCTGGGTTGGAGTAAGTATGTCCCTTTCACTACTTCCTGACTTGATGATAATGAACTAAACCTCTGAACTGTAAGCTGACCCAATTAAATGCTTTCCTTTGTAAGAGATGTGGTGGTCATGGTGTCTTTTTTCAGCAATAGAAACCCTAGCTAAGACAGCTAGCTAAAACTTGCTTTTAAAATATTATAGTGTAATAAATACATATTTGCTGGTAGTCATCAAATTAAGACTTTCATATTTCAAACTTGAGGAAATATAAAGAAAACATCCAGAATTATCTAAAGCCAGTAAATTAGACAACAATGTGTTAGTGAAGCTGCAAAAAAAAAAAGGCAGAATCTGTTTATAAATTTGAAAAAGAAGTTTATCTCTTTTTTTATTTGAAATATATTTTACGATTTTTTTGAGAGTTTTGTGCATTGTATTTTGAACATATGCACCTCTCCCCAAATTCCTCCCAGATCTACGCAATCAAATCCTTTTCTATACCCATCCAACTTTGTGTTCCTCTTTCTTTTAAAAAGCCCATATAGTCTCATTACTGAGTATGTAGTCATTCACCGAAGTGTGTTTGATTTACCACAGCCATGTAAAAATTTATAAGTAAAATTAGAAATATAAAAGCATAGCACGTTGTTTTAAACGTAAAATTTAAATGAATTAGAATGAATATATTCATACAGCAGTACCAATATTGGAATTTCCTGTTTTTACAGAAGGGACAATGGAAGGGTTGAGAGCACGGAGAGACACAGGGAAAGGAAAGTGAGGGAAGACAGAATATGCCATGATAATCATGTTTGTTTAAACATTTTATCTACTATTTAAGAGAGAACTAGTTTCATTTTATTCCTAGTATTTCAGAAAAGGAGCTTTCCTTAGCTGTTTATGTAGTTACTGATAACATGACTATTTTGCATACATTATGTCCTTTATTAAATTTCCGGTTTTGTAAGTTTTATGGGATATTTAGTTTTGAAATTCAAACATGAATATGTATAAATAGAATAAATGTATGCATGAAAAGTGCAGTGTCATTAAAATTTTCACGAAAATTTCCGGAATACTAGTATTGTAGTCACAAATTCTCTTCCATGAAGTGAAGGTTTTGCGATTTAGTCCGGTCGGGGGAAAAATTCTATTGCTATTCGTAAAAGATTGAGTTTCCGGAGTCAGCTCAACAATCAACAATAGGTGCTCTGGTGGTGTTGCTTTCTACTGCGCAGGCGTCTTCTGCGCAGTGATCTCTTAAAAAAAAAAAAAAAAGAGATCCGACTCAGTATTTATCTTAATGGTACATTTTGTTTTTGAACTATGCATTGTAATTTAGTCGAGGTATTAGTTAGTGGTTTTTTGTTTTGTTTTTTTTTTTTTTGTCCTGTGATTATGCAGTTTCAATTTTATCGGTGGAACGACTTCTAGATTTATAAATAACAACTGAAAAAGAAGTCGGCGGAGCGACACGTCGTTTACGATCCAGGAAAATCCGCCTAAAAATGGTGGACCTGAATGGAGAGGTGGATATTTTTAAGAATACAAAGTAAGCTAACTCTGAAATTTGGAAGAAAATAAAGTTCCTGTGCTTCGTGGCAGTTAGTAGGAATTTATCGAATCGCATTTTATAACCGCTTTAAGCCGGTCATGAAGCCAGGATCTGACGACTTTCTACCGCCGCCTGAATGCCCAGTGTTTGAGCCTAGCTGGGCGGAATTCCGAGATCCACTTGGTTATATAGCGAAAATCAGACCCATTGCTGAGAAGTCTGGCATTTGCAAGATTCGTCCTCCTGCGGTAAGCTTCTGAAATGAAACTTAAAATGAAATAAGACTTTGATTGTGGGTCTACCGTGGCTGTTGAAAAGGCCTTATATTAACTACACATTTAAGCGTTTTGAATTCTTCTAGCTCCTTATTTCATACTGCAGAAAATTCTTTTCGCTGTTCATATCCCTTGTGGTTAGAAATTGAAATGATTCTGCAGATGTATAATTAATTCCTTTTTTAGTCAACGAATTATCTTTACCACGTTTCACCTGAGAGAAAAAAATTTCATTTATAACCGAAACAAACAAAGGGTGCTATGCAAGTTTATATTATTAGCCACTTTCTCTGGCACGGTTTTAGTATCACACAATTTCATTCACATGTTAAAAAAATAAAAAAGGAAAGGGATGTGGAATTCTTGCCTTTTAAATTTGTGTTGATTTCCAAGACAAGCTTGTCCTTCCTGTTACACCCTGAACTAGTAATTGAAGCTAGAATTTTGGCTTACGTAAGAAACCAAACTCAAAGGACCTTGGAGCACTATATTAAACAGCTTACGTAAAGAATATGTAAACTTTTTAAAAAATGGTGTTTTTGAGTCAGGGTTTCTCTGTGGATTTGGAGCCTGTGCTGGAACTCGCTCTGTAGACCAGGCTGGTCTCGAACTCACAGAAATCGACCTGCCTCTGCCTCCCAAGTGCTGGGATTAAAGGCATGTGCCACCAATGCCCAGCTTAGAATATGTAAAAATTTTTATATAAAATTCTGCCCTCAACTATTCAACTATATAGATGTTTCATTTCTTGTGTGTGTTCACATTCTTTTTGTTATCAGCAGTTATGTTTTTTATTACATGCACCTTTCCCATAATACTGAAAATAGGTTTATATTGGAAGAAAAAGCGTATATGTAGTTTTTATTTTCAGCCCTTTGGAAGACTTAATTTGTTGGAGCTTGTATTTATTTTTTACTGTTGTCAGTTTTTGAAGTTCTAAGATAAAATTATTCGAGAACTCTGGAAAACAAATAGCCACCATAACTCACATTAAACACTAATATGACATTTCACTGTCTCATAATCTTCAGTTTTATTTCCTTCTAGGATTGGCAGCCTCCTTTTGCTGTAGAAATTGATAACTTCAGATTTACTCCTCGAATCCAGAGGCTAAATGAACTGGAGGTAAGAAATGTGTTTTTATAGAACAGTTGAAGTTGTAATATTCCTTTGTGGTTTTACAATGACTTGGGAATTTAACCTTTGAAATGAATTATTATTTATTGTAACTCCACTGCCATCATTTCTTAGAAGATTGATTATGAGAGTCTTCTTTAAAAGACACTTCTGGTTTATAAAATTCCAGAACATGAAGGTCTCAGAATTCCATTATACAGTGTACTAAGGTTAAAGTTACAAAGGATATAAATATATATAATTTATTCATGTCTTTAACAGAATACTGTGTCTAAGACAATAGGCTCATGCATGTGTCACTTTTCATAAGATCACAGGACAACCTTTTTGAGGCAAGTTCTGTCTTGTTTCTGCTTCTGTGCTTAGTAAATCCAGAGTCTTTGCCTGTTAGATTCCAAAAAGTTACTGTCTTTTCAACATCTAGTAAACAAATAATTTACCTTAGGAGTATTGGAATTACAAATCTGTGTCATGTCATCTCCCCTCCCCCATGGGTCTCATGGATTAACAAAGGTTTATACAGAAGTACTTTTTACTTGTTAAGCCATTGGCCCTGTCCACATTTCTCATTTGTTTCCCTAAATTCCACCTATATTTTTAATTCTGAATTTCCTATGATTTCTTCAACAGATGTAGAATTCAAGGCAAAAATAAGTCTTCCGTATTTATTCTTGAATTACGGACTAAGAAAGGGAAAACTAATTGAGAACTGTGATATTATATAACCATATTTTTTCCCCATTGGTCAGGGAAGAGTGTAAACCTGACTATATCAGTTGATACTGGGCTCAGTAACCCTGAATTTTGATCAGTTACTTATTTATTTTCCTACAATGGTCTGTATCTGTTTCAAAGTTCTTGATCAGGGATGATAACTACACTTATCTGTAGGTGTGTGTTGAGGGGGAAGTATTTAGTATATAGTTGGAAATTATACTTTTTTTTTTTTTTTTTTTTTTTAGTTGGCAGTTGTAGGTTCTCCAGGGTCTGTGATTTCACTAGGTCAAGGTAGGGTTCTAATATTAGGTATAAGATTTCTTTCTTGTGAAGTAGCACTTAAGTCCAATTGCACAGGTGTTAGTTACTGCCAGGGTATGCATGGTACTGTTGTATCCTTATTGTTATTATGTCATGATTGTCATTGTTGTCATTCATAGGTGTCATAGCAGGGTAGGACTATTGGTTGCTTCTCTCTCTTGGAAGGTTACATAATAATTTCTGGTATCAGGGAAAAGGTTTTCAGATAACATTCATCTGTGGTCCACTGTGACCTGTGTCTGAAGTTCCTCTTGTCTTTAGCAATAGACACCTTCAGTGCTTGGTGGTAGCCTTAGGTAATAGCAGTAACTCATAATGTTTTGGAGGTCTCTTGAAAAACCATATCCACAACTAGAAATGAAGCTTCTTATATCTGGTATTGGGACTTAATGTTAAATAACAATGGCTCCTGGGGAGTAGGTAGATGGAAAAAATTTATTTAAAGTGTGTGTGTGTGTGTGTGTGTGTGTGTGTGTGTGTGTGTGTATGTATGTATGTTTAGTATGTCTAGTATGCATATAACAATTTACATGTATTTTAGGTATATAATTAATATGGTTTCTTAAGACTTTTACAGACATCTTTACTATTGTTTTATGCTCTTCCCTTTCTTCTATATAAACCCCCCCGAATTTAATTAAAGCCCTAGACCTCATTTTTCCCATTTCTCCCTTGAAATTACTTTCAACCTTATATTCCTCTCTAATGCTTGATCCTACCTTTCACTTCCTTGAAATTTATCACAGCTCTTACATATCAGATTTAGGAATTATTGTGGCAGAGCAAACAGAAATATTTTAAAAGCAGAGGAACAGAAAGTATATTGTGAAATTTGTGTTTCCTAGAAATATCAGAGAAGCTGTGCTCATGAAGTCTTCCAATATGTCAGCCTAAACATGACCTAACAATGATGTTACTACTAACATTAAAATAGAAAACTCAGGAGGCTTGAACCTTAGACAAAGGACTATAGGCAACTAAGGAGTAGGAGAAATAATCTTTACCAAGGAATAGCATATCAGTTGGTTATCTCATACCATTTGATCAGCCCTGAAAACATACGTACATATAACATTATGCGGATTTAGTAGATCATGTTTAGAATATGTATTTGAAACAATTAGCCAAGTATTTGAAAAAGCATTTTTAAAAAAGTAACATAAAATAAATAAATAAAAATGGGGGTGGGTATCAGCCTAATTTACTGATCATTTTCCTTCCTAGGCCCAGACTAGAGTAAAACTAAACTATTTGGATCAGATTGCAAAATTCTGGGAAATTCAAGGGTCATCATTAAAGATACCTAATGTGGAGAGGAAGATCTTGGACCTTTACAGTCTTAGTAAGGTAAGAGTTGTTCAATTTAAAAAAAGAAAAAGTTCTGACTAGAAAACAACTTATCTCTAAGCTTAAAAAGGAGTGACCATTAGTCTGGAAAGTTGGTGGTGCCCACCAATAATCCCAGCACTCAGGAAGTAGAGGCAGGTAGATCTTTGAGTTTCAGGACAGCCGGGAGGGGGGGGGGCGGCGGGGAGGGGGGACTGAGTGATTATGGAACCTGATAGATGTTCTTGACTTAATCTTTGAGTGATGCAGTGGTTAGTGTTAGAGAGTTGCACCTTCTACATTTTAAAGCTCATGCAGTATTTAGACTTCTCCACTGTGTTTACTGTTTGTTTATATTCTTTCTTATCCTTTTAGATTGTGATGGAAGAAGGTGGATATGAAGCAATCTGCAAGGACCGTCGGTGGGCACGTGTTGCCCAGCGCCTTAATTATCCATCAGGGAAAAACATTGGTTCCCTGCTACGATCCCACTATGAACGTATCATTTACCCTTATGAAATGTTTCAATCTGGAGCCAATCTTGTGGTGAGGGTTCTTGGCTGACTTGGAGCCTTATACAAGATTTGATTTCTTTTATTCTTACCTTTTCTTTATAATTTTGGCATTTATCTTGAATTGTAGACATTTAAAAATGTCAACCTATACATTTCAGAAATTGACCTTTGAAAACTTGGTTATATAAAGTTCTATTCTGGTATGTAAACTTTAGGGAGTTCCTTCTTTCCTAGGGTTGATGTTATGAACCAAATTTCACACAAGAGCAATTATACTAGGTTGTTACCCGAAAAGTAGGTAATTAGTAATATTTTGTGCAATTATTAAGATTCCTTAAAATACTTCATAATGTACATGTCTAGAATGAGTGAACTTTATTACTTGTCCTCAACTGAAGGGTTCACTTAATCAGGTATCTTAAGTAAGAACATTATACATTAGTTTGACTAAACACTTTTAATTTCATTGCTGGAATTTCATTGTTTACACATATATATGTTTTGTGTGCATATTTTACAATATATATTTACCATCCTCTTTCCATATGCAGCAATGTAATACAGAACCATTTAATGGTGAAGGAAAAGACAAGGAATATAAACCTCATAGCATCCCTTTTAGACAATCGGTCCAACCATCAAAATTCAATAGCTATAGTAGAAGAGCAAAAAGGCTACAGCCTGAGGTAAGTTGGTTTTTCCCTTCATATAAGTTGAGTTTGGGTGAAAATCCATTTCCAGAAGTCATTATAAAAATTATGGGCAAAAGATGACATGTATATATACTTTAGGATGAAGTTATTGGGAAGTAGATTATTTTCATTCATGGTTTATACTACTTTTTTACTTTACATTTTCATAGTAATTATTCTTATACCTCTAAATTCATTTTTTATGAATGTTATTTTTCAAATTTATTTATTTTTAATTTTTTTTTTTTCAAGACAGGGTTTCTTTGTGGCTTTGGAGGCTGTCCTGGAACTAGCTCTTGAACTCATGGAGATCCAACTGCCTCTGCCTCTCAAGTGCTGGGATAAAAGACGTATGCTACCATCACCTGGCAATTTATTTGTTTTGTATGCATTGCTGTTTACATGAGCTGCCATGTAGTTTTTGGCAGTTGAACCCGAATCCTCTGGAAGAGCAGCCAGTACTCTTAACTGCTGAACCATCTCTCTAGCCCTGAATCTTATTACCTATAAAATACAACAATTCTTGTAAATAATGAAAGATACCTAAAATAATAAATTTTTATCTTAATTTATTTTATGTAGAAATATTCAAAATGTCATGAAAAATTTATATTTAGAACATTTAAGCCTAGCTTAGCTGGATTAGAGATTATAATCCTATATTTATGGTTTTAATTTTATGTATATTATTTAACCTTACACCTACTAGGTTTCTTTCTGGTTCACATTTTTTTTCTTAATATATAAAATGTTTCTTAGTTCTTTTGTTTTTTTCTGTGACAGTTTGGTTAAAAATCAATAATAAAAGAAATATTTGTATTATAGGTACTTAAGATAGATGTCACATATTGTATATAATTACTGAAAAAAAGAAGCTTTGATCTAGAAGCAAGAGTAGGATTTGACTTGATAAATTGATTTTAATAGGTTGAAGTTACACATTTAATTTCCTAGATCCTCACTCCAAGGGGATATAAGATAAAATTACTGGTTTCTTTGTTGAGAGGACCATCATTATGAGGAGTTTTTTTGTTTTTTTTTCAAGATAGGATTTCTCTGGCTTTGGAGTCTGTACTGGAACTCTTTCTGTAGAGCAGGCTGGCCTTGAACTCAGATCTGCCTGCCTCTGCCTCCCCAGTGCTGGGATTAAAAATCCACCTTTAAACCACCTGGCCCAGATTTGGCTCTTATGCATATACCACATTCTAGAAAGGTTTGACTCTGTGATCCAGAAAAAAATTTTAAATGTTAATATATATATAAGATTAAAAATAGATATAAGATTGAAAGCATAGACAGTAGTCTTATAATATGTAATCAAGTTAAAATAGGTTTGTGTCTGAAATACAACATTTTCATTATCTTGAATACTCATATGAAATAAATATTTTTAGGTAATTTAATGTTTTAATGTGAAACTGTAGCCAAAAGAGGATTAGTTACGTTTCAAATTACTAAGATTATTTTTCAAATTATTGAAATTTAATTGGGCTTTGCATTATTAATATGGGAAGAGATCTGTAAATTGGCTGACAGAAAAGGAGAGAAAAAAGAACAAGCATGAAATAATTTGGATATCTTAAATAGGTGAAAACTGAAATTTTCAAAGTGCGATCATAGATTATTAAAAAAGATAACTAAGCCAAAAATTTAGGCACCTTTTTTCTTGAAATGGATTAAATTAATTATCTCCTTTGTTAATGAGACTATAAAATTCTCTTTTTTGTTTTCTGAGACAGGGTTTCTCTGTGGCTTTGGAGCCTGTCTGGGAACTCACTCTGTAGACCAGGCTGGCCTTGGACACACAAAGACCGGCCTGCCTCTGCCTCTCAAGTGCTGGGATTAAAGGCATATGCCACCAATTCCTGGCTAAAAATTCATGAAAACTATTGTAGACCAATAATAGTAGGTAGATGATACTTGCAGAATATTAAGAGGAAAGACTATGACTTTCTGCATTTAAATATGTAATACTTATATTTCTTACATGTTACACTTAAATAATATTCTCTAGTTTCATCTGTTGTGCTTTATAAATCACGAATTTGTATGTTTGCAAGAGTGAGTATTATTTCACCATGATTATAAGCACATAAATTCTGTATATCATTTGTTTGTTTCTTCCATATCCATAGTACCAGTATTGTATTATGTCACCTCCCTCAGTGGTCCTCTGCTCAGTGGTCACTGTTTAGTTTCTTGAATTTTACAATACCTGGAGTTACTCACATGTATCTGGATTTATAAAGCCACAATCCACATGTGATTGAAAATATGTGATACGTATCTTTCTGGGCAAGAATTAACTAAGTATACTATTTCAGTTCTATCTATTTGCCCCAAAATTTCATTTTGTTTTATTGCTAAATAAAATTCCCTCATGTATATGAACTACATTTTTTTTTTATTGGCATGTCAGTTGTGGAAATTTCACATTTCCTGACTGTTGTGAAGAGTGTTGCAGTGAACATGAACGTACCAGTGTCCCTATGGTAGTGTATAGATTCTCTAAGTTATATACCAGAAATGATTTGACTGTGTCTCATGATAGATTATTTCTAGTGTTTTGAAGAAACTACCACTCTAATTTCCAAAATAGTGGAACTAATTTATATTCCCACCAACAGTGTATAAAGAGTTTGTTTTTTTTCTATATCTGAACTAGTATTTGTTATCTGCTTCCTTGTTAATGGTAATTTTGACTGTGTTGATTTCAAATTTTAGACTACTTTTAGTGTGAATTCCACTGTTAGCTATTTTGTAGCTATCCAACTGCATTCGTTCCTTTGATAACTTTTGTTTAGTTTCATAATCTTTTTTTTTTTTAACTATTTTCTTCTGAGTTTTATTTATTTTTTGTTTCTTGTGAATTATTAAACTTCCGTCACATATTTAATAGTCAAATTTTTCTGCCATTTGGTATACAGTCTTCACTTGATTTCTTCTTTGTTCACAAACTTTTTGGTTTTTGTTTTTAGTTTCTTAGAATCTCATTTGTACATTGTTGGTGTTACTTAATATGCTACTAAACTCCTATTGTGAAAATCCTTACCTATACCTATTTAAGTATATTCCTTACATTTTCCTCTTGTAGTTTCAAAGTATTTGGTCTTGTTTTGAGAGCTTTGATCCATTTGGGGTTAAATTTTAAACAGAATTTAGTTTCTTCTACAAGTTAATACCCAGTTTTTTTTTTTTTTTTAAACACCATTTGTTGAATACGCAGTCAATTCTCTATTGTGTGTTTTTTGCTTACTTCTCAGTAATCATGTCCATGTAGTTATGTGGACTTATATTTAGCCTCTGTTGTATTCTAGTGATCCATATTTATGGATTTTTGTTGCTATGCCTGTGTACTATAATTGAAGTTGAATATGGTGATCCACCATGTATTCTTTTTTCTCAAAATTATTTTGGCTATCTTTCCCTTTAATGTCTATATGAACCTTGAGATTTTGTTTTTCTGTGTCTGCTGTTGGTTCTATCATTTTGCTTATCAGTTATCTTGTGTGTTCGTGTCTCCCCTTAACCCCAGTTGAGGAACTGAGGGCCAAACCCAGGACTTTGCCACTGAAATAAATTCAAAACTTCTAGTTCTGGATTTTAATAAGGATTGAATTGGGTTTGTAAATTGCTTTTTGTGTTGTGGTTTTCGTTGTAGTCTTTCATTTAGTTAGACTTATTCCCAGGGTTTCTGTTGTCTGACTTAAGTTTGCCTTTATTTTATAGAAAGTTTACTGATTTGTTGTTAATTTTGTATTCTACTACTCTTCTGAAAATCCCAGCTGCACAATTTTGAGTTTTTGTCCTTAAGGTTTGTTTAGTTTTGTCCATATAAAAATGGATTTTATATTCTGTAGATAATATGGACAGGCACAAACCACAGGCAACATCTGTTTTCACAGAGAAATCCATTATTAAGCTGTGAAGAAAAGTTAAAGTGGTTGATTTCTGACTCAGGCAGAAAACAGCAGCAAATAACTTTACAGGTGTTGTTTTTAAGAAGAGAAAAAGGGGGAAGTGTGTTAGAATGGGCTAGGGTGCTGTGGTGTATTTTGATATGTTAATTAGGTGAACCAAAGGGGACTTTTGATTACTGGACTAAAATAGTTTGATAGCTGAACTTCATTGGTTAGCTTCAAGAGGAGAAAGTGACCAAATAAGGGGATAGTGGCTAATGTTTCTTCCCCACCCAGTCCTGTAGCTGTTCAGACCAATATTTTGATGGGGGATTCCACTGAATCTGTAAACTAGTTTTGAAAAGATTGCATTTTTATTGTGTTGATTCTACTTATTCATGAACATGAGAGATGTTTTCATTTTTTGATATCTTCTTTAACTTTATTCTTTTTTGTTTGTTTTTTGTGTTTTTGAAACAGTGTTTCTGTGTAGCTTTGGAGCCTGTGCTGGAACTTGCTCTGTAGACCAGGCTGGCCTCCAAATAACAGAGATCTGCCTGCTTCTGTCTCCCAAGTGTTGGTAGTAAAGGTGTGCACCACCAACGTCTGGATTAACTTCATTTTTTAAAGACTTAAATTCTTGTCATACAGATCTTTCACTTGTTTGGTTAGAGTTACCCCAAGATATTTTATGTTGCTTTGGCTATTTTGATTTCTTTCTCAGCCTGTTTACCATCTGTATGTAAGAGGGCTACTTTTTTTTTTTTTTTTTTTTTGAGTTAAACTTCCTGAAAGTGTGCTTATCAGCTGTTCAGCTGTAGGAGTTCCTTTGTATAATTTTGGGTTCTTTATGTAAAATATATGATACCTATGTAAAATATGATATCATTACCAAATAGCCTGAGCTTGACTTCTTTTCCAATTTATATCTCCTTGATGTCCTTTTGCTGTCTTATAGCTTTAGCTACAACTTTAAGTACAATATTGAAGAGATATGGAGAGAAAGGGCAGCCTTGTCTTGTTCCTGATTTTAGAGGAATCGGCTTAAGCTTCTCTCCATTCAGTTTTATGTTGGCTGTTGATTTTCTGTATATT